TCATAACACTCACAAAATGAATTTTCTTGGTTGACTGTCTTGAAATTATTTACTAAAATTGTGATTCTAAATCAGATATTATATTAAAGTATATGGTATGTTTAATCATCTAAATACTTTTACTTTATATATATATATTTTTGCTACACTTTTTATCTCTAAATACAAATATATAACAGTGAGGCAAAATCATATTTAATTTATTGTTGTTACTTACAATAGTTATTTCAACAACTGAATACAGAATTTCCTAAAAAAATTCTTCCTAGTGGAGAGCTTTCTGAAGATGGTATATAAACCTTAAGAGAGCTGATAAATGATCTTTTATGTATAACATGGCCTGATATAATAATCCAGTTCCAATGTGTACAATAAATAGTAAAATGTTGGAAAGGATTAATAAATTCTTGAAGAATACATAATATCATATAACTTATCATGGTCACACATTCATCACACAGACTCTGAACGATTTCAATAATTTCAAGTGCCATCCTGACCTCTGAACAGAATAAAAAATCATTAAGTTATCATTCTTACTCTATCCATCTATGAGTTGTTTGGGCTTAGGCTAAGCAGAGTAATCATGCATCTTTGTAAAATGTCTTCTTATTTGCTTGCATTTCAAGTTAAAAATTGGTCCTTAATAGGAATTATACCATCATTAAATCAATCACTGATCAAATACTTATTTAAGTCAGACATGTTCTCGCTATCCATAGTTTAAAGAAGAATTGTTTCTATTGCCGTTATCTAGCATGTGAAACTTCAGTATAATGCTCTGAATGCTGCATGCAGATGTCATTGGCAATTTTCTTCTCCCCTTATTTCTATTTCATTGGAGATATTGCTTTTATGTTTTTCTAACCATGCTCGGATTTCTCTGTGCAGAAGCTGCATCAGTGGTTCGTAAAAAGACTAGGTCCTTAGAAGCAAACCTCTTCTTTGGAAGATGTACATAATAGATCCAAATCAACCTCTTCATTGACCTTATAGATTATTTAATACCGAAATTAACAGCAAAGAAGGGAACACTTTTGTTTCTTGACCAAAGAGTACGAGTGTTGTGTTAGTCAACACCGATGCTATCTATCAGTTTCTTTTCAACTTGAAAGAAATGCAACATACATTTTTTTTGTTATATTAATGATTGTGTTTCAAATCATTTATTATTATTTTGGAGTAATTTGTATGTTCATATTTTGTATTTCAGTTTCTTAATAAATTAGTATTTTATTTTTTTGTAATTAGCATTTCGTTTTTTGCTTAGTTGAAATTCCTTTTTTTTTTTAAATTAAAGTTTTAGTATGTTTAGTTCTGCTTTTTGTTCTACAAATTTATATTATATTTTCTCTACTTTAGCACTGTTCATTAAAATCTATTACACCAACATCCACCTTTTTGTAGATTATCAAATCTACATGTGTTTGTGTTTAATAAGTCCAAATTTTATATATTTTTTACATGTGTTCTAATTTTAAATTTTAGTTCTTTGAATTGTTTGAGGTTTATTTTATTTGATTTTACGTATGTTTAATTATTTTTGAGTAGGTAAGGATTAAATTACAAGAAATTGAAATTCTTAAGACCAAACCAAAGAAATCAAGATTAGGAAGATCAAAGTGTGAATTTGTTAAAAGTATGAGTGATCCAAACAATTTTACCAATGAAGAGTTAAAATTGCTTTCAAGGCCAAAATTCCGACACGAACTTTTTTCGGGAATACAGTGAAAGTGTCGGTACTTGTTTAGCGTGTCGATACCTTGGGCGATTTCCAGCACATTAACACTGTCGTTCTTGCTTAGACATGGTTCCACTTCTCTTACAACTAGTTGATACCCCGGGCAATGCCCGGGCCTTTGAAATTAAAAAAATAAAATAAAAATTTAATATTAAAAGAAAATTAGTAGTGAAAGGATACATTATTGCTTAAAAGAAAAATATAACAGTAAGTTTTAGAGAATTTAATCTCAATTATGTCAATTCCACAATATATGCATATTTAACTACTTGGGGATATAATCAAAAACAACAAAATACTCGCGATGTTGTGTCTTATTATAGCCATAGTATCCGCTGCCATATATGATTCACGAATAACATGGATGCCACAACCTCACTGTAAGGAATTTGCAATGAGGTTTCTGCAATCAAATTTCAACTTGAAGAAATGAGAATTGTCTCATGTTACATAACACATTATCAAATGTGTTTTGCAAGAATACATTTACAAAAAACAATGGAAACTAAATCAATACCTCAAAAGTATATTGTAATGAAATTCACCCACAATGAGGCTAGTGAAGCCTAGCAATTAAACTGACAGCAAAAGTTATGAAGCCTATAGCAAAGCTCTAATAAAAGTACAGTTAAGTAGATAGAATAGAATTAATAGCAAGTAAACTTTCTTTAACAGATCTCTTTATACTAATTCAAAAATTAAAGAAGCATTTCTTGTCATTATCCAATCTATCTTTCTATGCAAAGTGCTGTTCTTGTTAAGTATTTTTTAGACCATGTTCAAACTTCCTTCACCAATACATAAATGCTCTTATCAATTCATAGTCACTAAAAAGTCAATGTAAAAAGTAGTAAAGTCAATAATGAATCCTAGTATTCTACATACATATACTTTATACTGCTGGATGATTTTGCATCTATGCTTGTAAACAAATTCCCAATTCTAGCCACCTTTAACATATGTAATTATGTATTGCATTTTACATGTTGCATTTTGTTGTCTCCATGATACCCATAAAGGAGAAGGAAATAAACAGAGGCAAGGTAAAATGGTAAATCCCATAGCCTTAGGTTTACGTGCAGCAAAGAAAATTCAGTTACAAACTATTGATTAGAAAATAAAGAAAATTCTAAATCATTAAAATGTTTTTTGCTCAGAAAAACAGAGTTACTAACCAAAACCACAAGTACAAGGGAGTCAATGAGCAGTATCACCAACAAGTATTATTTAATTGTAGCAACATACAAACTTTTCAGCAACTTTAGCGTGCATCACCCATAACTTTATATCAATAACAATTATAACTGAAAGCTCTCCACCAACCAGTTTGATTTGTTAACTTCTTGCATGTCTACACAAATTTGCATTCTTTCAGAGCAATTGTTACAAAAAATGGAGACGGAACCTTATTACATACCAAATCTTACAATTAAATTTTTTTAAAAAAAATCCATCCCATATATCAACTGTTAGGATAGTGTGAAAATCATTCAAAAACAGTTATAATTAACTAATTTGTCTTGCGCATGAGATAATAATTGTATAAGCAGAAAGCTAAAGCCTGAGCTAATGCATATTTCAAGGGTTAATCTTTGGGGATTTCTTCATGTTAAACTAATGATGCTACATAAGATAGCACTTTCATACCATGTAACAAATTGATGAAGAAAGTAAAATAATTGCTGAAAAAAATGGAAAGCCGGAAGCATCAAAGTTGAAACCAATTAACCATTTTGCGTGAAGTAATTTTGTAACATTAAAAACGCTAAAAGCTAGACAGACCCTTTTACCACCAGCCATTGCCAGAAAAAACCCAAAATTAGAGAGATGTCAAAGACACATTTGAATATTTTGTTATAAACTAACCATATTCAATAGGCAAAGCTCCTAATTTTCCATATAAACTCAATCAAGACTAATGAACTGAATCATACTGAAGAATCCCTTTGTCTCTAACTTTGTTATGAACTGAATATTATAATGGTACAACTAATATGCATTTAGAAGTATATTTAAATTCTAATAAATTAAAACAAAGGTGGTATGCAAATACAACTATTCATGTGGGTATCATCTAGCTAAACCAAAGAATACTGAACCTTTCTAAAATCTCAATTATCTTAGCAAATGATGCTATGCCTTGAAAGCTATAGGTCAAACCTCTGTCATGCTACTCTAGCCTACAAACCCAATACAGGTCAAGACTCCATGTGCTCGTTTCTATGAAATAAAATTAGCATATGTTATAAGAAAGTTCAACTGAAACTAATCTCAAAAAAATAAAAAT